AATACAGAAATACACAAACGAATGAGAGAAATGAGAGGTGATCCTCTGAACTGCTTCTCAGACTCAATTCCCGCTTTATTCCACCCGAGTCTGTAGGAGCCGATGGTCGTCTGGTCCCGCTTCCGCGCGCGGTGCCACAGTTCCCTCGAACGCTCTCCTGAACTGTTTTTCCCTTCAGGACAAACTCGAGGAGCATCAGGAAGATAAGAAGATGTACGACTCGAAGGAGGCGGAGGCAGACACTCTGCAGAAGGAAATGGATGAGTTTTGAAAGAAGGTGCTTCATTGAGAAGGAACTGGAAAACGAAGGTAACTCAGGTGCATGTATGGGACATCCACAGGGAGGGGAGAAAAGAATGAAGAAGGAAGAGGGAGAAGAAAAGAGAATATATTGATAGTAGGGCAGCAACAGGAGTACATAGGAGTAGGGGAGCCAAGTAGAAAGATATGAAAGACACTTTTCCTGAACTCTTCTCCTTGCAAGGACAAACTCGAGTAGCAGTCGAGGAAGATGAAGAAGAGGTACGAACACCGAAGGGGGGAGGCAGCCGCCCTGCAGAAGGAAAACGAAAGATTAAGAAAAGACCTTCATGAAAATGAGATAGAAAAAGAAATTTCTGAAGGTACGTGTTAGTGAGAAAGGGAGAGGGAGAGGAGAGGAGAGAAAGAAGAAGGGAGGAAAAGGAGAGTGGAAAAGAGAGAAATCATTGTTTTATTTCCTCTGTTACAAGGGCTGTTCCTGATGTAACATGTCTGTTTCATCTTGCTTCTAAATGACCCCCATGTGCAAGGAATGGCCGGGGTTGCCATCCACTGGCGGTGCGGGGAACTGAACGCGGGTCAGCAAGAGTGCCGGACGAGACCGCTACCACTGCACCACACAGAAAGGGGATAGGGAAGCCAGAGAGAACACTGGGAGGGGGGGCTAAGTAGAAAAATATGTGAAAGACATTCCTGCGACTGTTTTCTCTTGCAGGAGAAACTCGAGGAGCAGGGGAAGGAGATGAGCAAGAGGTACGACTTGAAGGTGGCGGAGGCAGCCATCCTGCAGAAGGGAATATGGAGAGTTGAAGAAGGAGCTTCAGGAGAAGGAAAAGGAAAACAAGGTACTCAGGTGCATGTAAGAGACACAGGGAGGAGAGAAAAGAATGAAGAAGGGAGAGGAGAGAAGAAAAGGGAGCAATGTGATAGTAGGGAAGCCAGAGAGAATATGGGAGTGGGAAGCCAAGTAGAAAGATATGAGAAGACACTATCCTATTCTTCTCTTGCAGGATAAACTCGAGGAGCAGGAGAAGGAGATGAAGAAGGAAATCGAAAAAGTTGAAGAAAGACCTTCAGGAAAAGGAAAAGGAAAGCAAGGTAACTCAGGTGCATGTAAGAGACACAGGGAGGGAGAGAAAAGAATGAAGAAGAGGGAGAGGGGAGAAGAAAAGAGAGAAATGTGATAGTAGGGAAGCCAGAGAGAATATGGGAGTGGGAAGCCAAGTAGAAAGATATGAGAAGACACTTTCCTGAGACTTTTCTCTTGCAGGACAAACTCGAGGAGCAGGCGAGGAAGATGAAGGCAGAAACCAAACAGGTAGAGGTACGTGCACAGAGAGAGGGTTGTCCTCGAGTATCTGATTCCCCTGGCTAGAGAGGCATTCCTGACGCGCGTCGTCTCCTCCGCAGACCGAGTACGAGGCCCGACTGCGAGACTCGAACATAGCCTACAACACCAAAGAGGACGAGGCAGCCGACCTGAAGAGGGAGAACAGAGACCTGATGATGGAGATGGGAAGAAAGGAAGAGGAAATAGCATCTCTAAAGGTATGGAAGGGAGATGAATAGAGGAAAGAGAAGAGTGAGAAAAGAGAGAGAGGAGTAGGAGAGAGAGACACAGAGTGGACGAGGGATGAGGATATGATAGATAAAAGGAGGGTAACAGTTTGCATAGAAGTTAGGTGGAGAGAGAGGAGACCAACAGATAATCATATCGTAAGAGAGTGTGGAAGAATTTATCCGTACTTCTAGCCGTGTCTTTATAAATGCATTTCTTCATGCGTGAGCATGTCTGCGTCAACGAGGTAGATAATCGGGCGAAAATAGAGAGCGATCGACTGACTGTAGGAACATGATACTTCTTTTTCTCTAATGAAACTTGAGATTCCGGGAAGTTTAAGGAAACGACACAAGGCAGATGCAAATCAAGTGCTCAATTCTGCAACATCCTAACCAAGGTTGACCGCTTCAGGAGACGGTGAAGCAAGCGCAATTGCATCAGCGAAGGTGTGAGAGTAAGGCGAGGAAGCATGAGGCCGAGAAGGAAGGTCTCAACGAGCAAATCGCAGATCTTCAGGAATACATTGCAACTTTACAGGTGAGTTGTCGCCTGTGTGATCAGATACAGACTTGCAGTTATACTTGGTTACATGCAGAAATACAGAGAGGTGATAGAAAGAGACAGAGGCAGCGGAGGAGAGAGAGCGGGATATAGAAAGAGAATGTGTTCATTTAGAGATGAATAGAGACAGTGCTAGACAGATAGACAGAAAAAAATGAAGTAGGGGAAGAAAACCTGGGGGGGGGGGGGCGATGGACACCCAGAGACGGATAAATAAATAGATGAATAGATAGAAAGATAGAGAGAGAATCTCGCCTGGAAGAAAAATGGGGCAAGAATCGAGCGCTGGCGAGGCAGATGGGAGAGGAGAGCGAGCTCACAGGAGCCGAGGTAAGTTCTCCCTTTGTAAACCAAGGAACCGCTGATGTGGGCGCACGCTGATAGGAGGAAATAATGCATATCGCCAACAAATACATGTCCTGTGACGCAGTACTCATAAAGTCGTTCGTTTCCAGGCGGAGAACAATGAAAGGCTAAAAAGTCTCAAAGCAAAGGAGAAGACGAAGGAGAAAGAGGCAGCCAACGCGAGAGGCGAGCTTGAGAAGAAGCTCAGTAGACGAGACAAGACGATCGAGGCCCTCAAGGTAGAAGCGAGCTGGTCCTTCGCACACACGCGTTGGTGTTGATGGTGGTAGCAACCAAATAGAGACTAATGTCTGATAATGCCAAAGATGGAAAATAATCTAAGAATTCATGTTTCCAGAAAAAGCTCAGTGAACAAGAAGAGGCAAGAGAAATGGACTCGCAACCCGAAGAGGAAGAGAGCGAGTTAAAGCGAATGAAGGTAAGTGTGTCACGCGTCCAGACACCTCCCTCTCCGTCGGGTGAAATGAAAGCTCATTTGTAAGCAACTAGTAAGCTGACAGCTCCCTCTGGGAAAGAAAGAG